TCTCCTGCCACTTGTGCCCTTGCTCAGGCCTCTTGATCCTCACTGATCTTTCTGTTTCTTGAACTTGCTACGCACATTTCTACCTTCCCCTTTTCTCTGCCTGGCACATTTTGTGCCACATACTAAATCTCTCCCTTTTACCTTTCTGGTCCAATATCACTTTCTCAAAGAGGCCTTCCATACGACCTCATCTCAAATAGCTTCAGAGAAGCAGAATCTTTTTTTTTTTTTTTTTTTTTAATAAAGTTTATTTATTTTGAGAGAGAGCACACGCGTGAGTGGGAAAGGGGCAGAGAGAGAGGGAATCCCAAGCAGGCTCCACTGTGTAGCGTAGAGTCTGATGCAGGGCTTGATCTCACAAACAGTGAGATCATGATCTGAGCCAAAATCAAGAGACGGATGCTTAACCAACTGAGCCACCCAGGTGCCCCAGAGAAGCAGACTCTTAAATGCTGAGTTATTCTGCTTTAGTTTTGTTCAAAACATGTATCACGTGCTGACCGCTTTGTTTATTGCTGTTTGCTTGTCTCGTTCTCCCAATAGAAGGTAAGCTCCGTGAGACCGGGGTGCTTTAACTTACTCACCACTGTATCATCAGCCCAAGGAGAGTGCCTGGCACACGACAGGCAGTCAGTACACATTGCCTGAATGACCGAGTGATGCATACTTCCCGGTTTGGCAGTGTATAATTAGAAAAGTTTCACTGAGGGATTCTGGTCTGTTTCTTCCACCTGGACAAGAACCGGTGAACTCTAAGAGTGGGAAAAAGCTTCCCTATCCGGTGCGTGGTGCTCAAGAGCTAAGTAAACACTTACTGTTCCCATGACAGGAATCACTGGCGCGTGTGATAACGCAGCCCACTGCCCTTCACCTGGCTCTGCCAGACTTGGGCCGATCCTAAAGAATTAATAGAACGAATCTGTATTCCCTGCAGCCTCTCGGGCTTGGTGCCATCTTGTTTAATATGGGGCGGTCTCGGTGGCAGGAGAGGGGCGTTGTGGGTGGATTCCCATGCCCTTTCGCCTTTCCGTGGAGCCAGCTTAGGTTTATTTCCCCGTGTCCACTTGTGTACCACCCACAGATGGAGGACCATGTTAACCTGATAGCGGGTGTGAGGGTCTACCCATGTGACCCTTGGGTTAAAGCGCTGTAAACTGCCCTTTACTCTTCCTGGAGTCGTATGGAGTCGGTGGACCTTTGTTGAGTTGCCAGTCCTTGATCTCACTTTTTGCGTTTCACAGCATTGTTTGTGCTCCCCAAACCTAAAGTGATCTCGTATCTAGAGCAAGGGGAAGAGCCATGGGTTCAAGGGTCCACGGAGCTCAAGGACAGTCCTGGAGAGCTGCCTACAGGTAAAT